CCACTCCCTTCTGGCCTGTAAGGTTTCTGCTGAGAAGTCTGTTGTTAGTCTGATGGGCTTTCCTTTGTATGTGATCTTATTTCTGCCTCTGGCTGCTTTTAACAGTCTGTCCTTTTCCCTGATCTTTCCCATTTTTATTACTATGTGTCTTGGTGTTGTCTTCCTTGGGTCCCTTGTGTAGGGGGATCTGTGGATCTCCATGGCCTGAGAGATTATCTTGTTCCCCAGATTGGGGAAGTTTTCAGCAACTACCTCCTCAAAGACACCTTCTATCTCTTTTTCTCTCTCTTCTTCTTCTGGTATCCCTATAATGCGAATATTTTTCCACTTGGATTGGTCACACAGTTCTCTCAATATTTCTTCATTTTTAGAGATCCTTTTTTCTCTCTGTGCCTCAGCTTCTTTGTATTCCTCTTCCCTAGTTTATATTTCATTTATTGTCACCCCCACCATATCCAACCTGCTTTTAATACCCTCCATCGTCTTCTTTAACAATTGGATCTCTGACCTGAATTCTATCCTGAGTTCTTAGATGCCTTTCTGTACCTCCATTAGGATGTTGATGATTTTTATTTTGAACTCCCTTTCAGGAAAAGTCACGAGGTCCATATCATCTAAATCTTTCTTGGGAGTTGTATTTACAATTTTACTCTGGACAAGGTTCCTTTGGCATTTCATGTTTGTATATGGCACCCTCTAGTGTCCAGAAGCTCTATTCTGGAGCTGCTGAGCCCCTGAAGCAATGTCAGGGGTTGCAGGGGAGCAGTAATTGGGTTAGGAAAGAGCTATTCCCTGCCTCCTGGCTCCTGTGCCTGTCTCCACTGGCTGAGCCAGTGGGCCGGGCACACAGGCATAAGTTTTTATCTCAGAGCAGCCAGATATGGATCCCTGCTTTACACAAGTAGCCAGAATACCAGTCTCCCCAGGAATTCTGCCTGTATTAACTTTCCAATGCGGTAGTCATGTGAGTCTTATAAAAGCACCATGAAATGTAGATTTGTGCTCCTAGAGCAGATCTCCAGAGCTAGGTATTCAGCAGTCCCAAGCCTTCTACTCCCTCCCTGCTCTGTTTCTCTTCCTCCCGTGGTGAGCTGGGGTGGGGGAGGGGCTCGGGTCCCGCGGAGCCACAGCTCTGGTATGTTACCCTGTTCCGTGAGGTCTGCTCTCTTCTTCAGGTGTGTGCAGTCTGACGAGTCCTCTTTCCTGTTGCTCTCTCAGTATTAGTTGCACCAATTAAATTTTCTAATTGTATCCAGTTTTAGGAGGAAGCCTCTGTCTCTCCTCTCACACGCCATCTTTAATCCTCTTTTTGTCTTTGTTTTTTAAGAGTTCCTTTTAAACTACTTCAGTTGTCTGCTGTGTAGTTGGGCATTTCTTTGCTGTAACAGAGTAGTTGTTGATACCTATTCTTGCCTTCTGCTTGCCCCTGCTCTACAAACATGCTCAGCTTGTCCAGAGCAGCTGAGCCCTTAAACCACCTAGCAGATCTAACACTTGGACAAAGTGGATAGAGGCATTTTGTTACATCTCCTTCTTGGGAACTTTATTACATCTAAAAAATAAAATATATTAACATTAAAATTCTCACATGTTTTAAATAAAGACAACTATATTTATTATTTGAATGTTTGCTGGTTACGATGTTACCATACATTGTCTCGTCTAATCCTTCCACAGTGCTGCAAGGTAAAAAAAGGTTCTCAGCTGAGAAAAATGAGACTTACAGATGTTAAGAAACTCATCCAAATTCAATAGCTGATGTATATAAATCAAGCATTGGATTTCAGGTTTATTTGTCACTAAAATTCATGCCCAGAACCTCTGCGCTATTCTGATCTTAGACTTACTGTCCCTAATTAAAGCAGTTGGGCCAAGAATCAGCAACTTGTTATTCTGAAAGCTTCAGCCAATGCTGCATGTTGAAATTGCCATCCCTTAACAAAAGCCAGTTTTTAAAAAGCAACTAGTTGGTTAGAATTGCTACCATGTCTTTAATTGCATAAATGCAAGTTTGTTTGGTTTTTATTTAAATCACATTAAGTATTTAGATACTACTTAAGATGAGAAACAGACATATAAGCCGTCTAACGAAATGAAACACAAGGGTCTGTGGCTATATTCATGCTGTGTACTTTCTCAACACCTGAAACTAGATTTTCTTCCTCTGAAGCTCTGTAGGACAGTTCCATAAAAATTTGGATTAATATTCTCTGGTCACCACAGAGAAGAGGCAGCCCAATATTGTAAGAAGAGAAAGAACTGGCTTGCATGTTCTTCGCACGGATTTTGAGTGGCCCGTAGGATTGGATCATAACTCTTCCAGAGACATAAATCAATCCTGCAACTCAGAGATGCCCATTTGAAATGGCTAACAAAACGACTGTGGGAAAAGGTACTAACTCACTGCAGAGGAAACCATGTGGTACTTGAAATGGGGTCTCTCATACGGCCTGAAATACTATTCCCTCCTATACTATTCCAGGCCCTGACTTATGATAGCAGAGAGGAGACTTCAGCAAGACTACCAAGTGGCAGAGATATTTCTACTCCTGAGAAGTGGGATTGAATTTTCTGCCCTATCCTTAACTCTGAGCAGTTTGGTCAGGTAAAGAAGTTTATTTTAGGAAATCTTATGTTTTCTAGAGGTAGTCCATCAGCTTAAGAAAAACACCAACTGTTGGTATGGATTTGGTCTGAGATTTTCTTGCTTGTGTCTCTCTGAAATGACTGACTCCCTAGTTTTTCCAGAGAAGCTACACTTTCTGGGGAAGCAAGCATGAGTTTCCAATAGATTGGATATTGAATCTAATGTCAGGTTTAGTAAAGCAGCTAAATTTTAGCTGGAAGATTGCTTTATTGAGAAACCCCAGTCTGTAAGAAATCATTATTTAATTAATTACTCCTTGAATCATAGACTGATGAAATTTATAGGGAGGTTAAAGAGCATCTAAACCAGAAGGGTACAATCTGAATTCCTTTCAGTTCTACCTAGAGGCCATGCATAGGCCTCAGTGGCCTCATTAATAACCAGAGATTATGCACAGATTCATTTATGTACATGTTTAAACACTGGTTACATTAGTTTTTCTCCAGGGAAGAGAGTATAAAACTTGTACTGGTATTTTTAAAGGGCTCAAAATGTTTAAGGATCACTGATTTAGATCAACATTTAATTAAATTTGAGCAAACAGATACCCAGGGAGGTCAAGTGACTTGCAGATCACATGGCTAGAGAGAGACAGAACTGCTAGACACCAGGACTTCTGGTTTCTACCCCAGTGCCAGCACGCTGCTTCTGAGTCACCAACAACGCAGGCATTTCTCCTCTGGTCTGTGTTTGAATTGGAGCCTACAACTAGGGTATGAAAACACAAAACACATAAAATGTACTGCTCAAGAGTAGGAGGTTTATATATCTAGTGCATTGATATCAAAATAACCAGAACTATACAATGGACTGCTCAGTTGTAAGATTTGGAATAGTGGGGTGTCTTAGTTTAAGTTCCCCCAGAAAGAGACCTGAGAGAAGCATTTGGACATGAACAGTTTAATTTGTTGGTGATTCCAAGACATGGTATAGGAGTTGAGGAGTGAGAAGGGAAATAAGTTAGAAATTGATATGTTAACCAAAGGGATAGCACTGTGGAATTTGGAGAACCTCATGGACTGGAATTATCCCACCAGAGGGGTAGGGAAGCTGGTACACTTAACTCTTGTCCATTGGTTGACAGCTTTTCTTGGCCAGAAAACAACCTTGGCAGAGCAATATAGGAATCATATATGAAAATTATCTCCCAGTAACCCCTAGGGTAAACAAGGTGATAGGGACTGGTTTCACAAAATACACTAAAAGGTGTTTTAGGAGTTAAATGAAGAAAGATGTATCTGTGGAATATTGTTAATCATAAAATTTTAGGAATTAAAGAAATCCCAGAAATCATTTACTGCTTCTTTTAACCCCTTCTTTCACAACCCATGAAAAGTGAAGACCCTTTATTTAATATCACTTAAAAAAGTGATTTCTGCTATCCTTTCATTGTCAGGGTACACGTTACATTCAGATGTCATTCTTTATGTTTTTCATTTTGTTTTGTTTTGTTCTTTGGGATCATCCCTGTATATTACTGACTTCATTTATATGGAGTCAGAATCTGCTGGAATCTCCCACTGGTGGCCAACTTTTATCCTGCATGTAAATGAAATATATTTAAGGCCTCTTCCAAGTGACAGCCTCTGGGAGCCAGCTGCCAAAATGACTCCCAGCAATCCCTGCCTCTAAGTATTTACACCTTTGTGTAGTCTCCCACCCTGAAGAGAGCTGACTTAAGTATTGAATAGAATAATACTGAAATGACAGAATGTGACTTCCAAGGCTAGGCCATAAAAGTCATTGAACCTGCCATCTTTTCCTCTTGGATTATTCTCTCAGGGGAAAACCAGCTGCCTGTGTCCTGAGGACACTCAAGAAGCCTCGTGGAGATGTCTACGTGGCAATGATCTGAGTCCTCCTGCCAGAAGCCATGCCAATAATCTATTTTGGAAATGGATCTGTCATTGCCAGCCAAGCTTCCAGATGACTGCAGTCACAGCCAACATTTTGACTGCAACGTGATGAAAGGACCTGAGCCAGAAACACTTAGTTATGCTTCTATCAGAGTTTGGACCCTCAGAAACTGTCTAATACATAGTGATTGTTTTAAGCTAATGAGTTTTGGAGTAATTTGTTACACCGCACATATATCTAGTACTTAGCCTTTCTAGTGTTTAAAGGACAGCTACTCCTGACCTTCTCTTCTGATTAAACATCCCCCTTTCTTTTCCGATCTCCCTTTGTGTGGCCCAGTTTTCTGCTCTTTTGCTCCAACACGGGGCTGTTCCTGTTCACCAATATCCTTTTTAGTGTCAGTCTGTATTAGTTAAATCTCTTGGTTGAAAGTGACAGAAACCCAAATTCACCCAGCTTATGACTAAGAAGGGGGCTGTGTTGTCCCATGTCATCACATTTCCAGAGGGGAAGAGGAGGATCTGGCCTTAGAGACAGCTGGAACCAGGGACACAAATAGCACACGGGCTCTTTCTCTCTCTTTCTGCTTTTTATCCTAGGTTTTGGCTTCATTCTCAAATCTGATGTCCTCAGAAACTTATAATCATTTTTATGTAGCTTTTGTACTCAGAGCTGTGTGGCCAGAGACCAAAGAAAGTTCTTCCCTGCCAGAACATTTCAGTTAAAAAAATCTCAGAAGAGAATTGCAATTGGTCTGACTTCAATCGTGTTTGTCCCCCTACAACACTGTGACAGAGAGCAGTTTACCAGGACCAGGTGAATCATGTGCACACACCTGTGGTGAGGGACACCCTCAGAAGAGATTTAAGGAGAAGGAGAGATGAGGTGGCAACTCTAAGAGGAAGGTGACTATGGACAGAGGAGAGAATAAATCACCTCTGCTTCCCAGCTGCGTGTCATGTCCCTGTGGTGTTTGGACCAGTGTGGGATGAACAGATTATTTTCTAGTAGTCAGATAGGTCCATTTCATATAATAAATAAGCTGACCAGGAATAAGATCTCTGAAAAAGTTAAGAGCACAGTGGGTGGTAGTAAGGAAATCTGTTCTTACTTAGGTAAGAGGGTTCACTGACACAAGGGATGGTGACCAGTGGAGAATGCCATGGTAAAGAAAAAAGATAGGTTAGATAGGTTAGAACTAAACTTCTGGGACAAATGTGGGAGTGGGTACTCAAGCCCATGGCTTCTGAACCACAATACTGCAGCACACTGGGGTCACAGTCCTCTGTAAGGAAGCTTGTGGGGTCCACCTCAAACAATTCATTGTTGTCAGTAGACAAAATACCATAGTTAATAAATTAATTCTCTTTTTTATGCACTAAGTTGGATATATAGTCGTCCTCATGATAATAGCCTTCTTAGCATGCATCCAAGAGACAGTGTAACCTAATGGTTAGAAAGATGGCCCTCTGGGCAGACAGTCTGGATTTGAATCTTAGATCTTATTAGACATACGATCTTGGGCAAATTCTTTAACCTCTCTGTGCTTCATAGAATTTGGAATAATAATAATAATATATCATAGGAAATTAAATAAGTTAATATATAGAAAGTTCTTACAACAGCATCTGACACACAGTAAGTGCTATATAGATATTGGTAATTGTTATTACTATTATCATCATCATTATTCTTGAATTAAGGGGAGAGGTTTGTAGTTTAACCTATCCCAATGGAAACATGGGCATACTCATTTCAGTATCATCCATTCCATATACTGAGGAAGAAAAAAGCTGAAAAGTTGTCATTCTAAGCAGTCAGAGGACCAGAGTGTAAGTCTCTAGTCTCTACAAGAGAGTGAAGGCAAGTACGTTGAAATGATTTGTGGAACATTTGGGCTGCAAATAGAGACCTCTTAGAAGACTACAATGTCCACCTTGTCAAGTGTTAAAGTTGGTGCTGATTACATGTCTTCAAATAATACAAAAGCAAATATATCCCACTGCACTTCCATAAGAAATAAGCATTCATCCGTGGGTTGTTGGTTTTCCAATTGCAGTAGCAAAGATTTAAGCCATATTTAGGATCCAACATATCCATCATAAAAGCTATCTTTCCTAATGCCCATTTTTATCCAAGTACAGTGCATAATTAAATGCTAGCACTGAGAAGCACTGTATTTAGAAAATAACAAGGCAAGATCATCAACCACAGCTATTTATGTACTCCTCCAGCTCGAATACCTCAGACTGTGCATGCTTGCTACTGACATTGCTTATTTTTAAGTCTTTTTTTAAACTGTATAAATCATACTTTTGAAAGATGTGGCAATTGGATCATTATATCATATAAGCAAAGCTTTAAAAACTAAGTGATGCTTAAAGATCATGCAACACACCTATCTGAACATCTGTCTGCTATATATTTTTAAAATATTTGTCTCAAGTCAAACAATGACTTATGAAAGCAGTAGAACTATGACATGTTCTCCACACTCTCATGGCAATCATCACCAATTCTCTGTAAAGCCTGGACTGAGCCTCAGAATCCTTTTCAACACAAAGATCCAGGTAGCCACTTCAAATCGATTAGATTTAGCATGAAAATTTAAATCAGTTTTTCATCCCCTAATGATGGCTGACCTAAATAGAGCCTAGGATACCAAATTTCCATACTAATCTGATTATACCATTCAAATTCTTCAGTTACGAACTATTTGAGCCACATTTGTCCATCTCCACACTCTTGTTGACTGTTCCATGAAGAATCAGTCCACCTCAGTGAATATGTTAGTGATAACCCTTCCTGAACCTGGTCAGTGATAAGCTCCCATACTGCAAATTACACTTTTTAAATGAAATATAATTCACTTTCCAGACAATTCATCCTTTTAAAGTGCTCAATTGAGTATGTTTGACTATATTCACAATCTAATTCCAGGACATTTTCATTACTCACAAAAGAAACCCTATATAGCAGTCATTCCCCATTTCTCCCTCACCCTCTGTACCCCAGCCCTTAGGAACCACTAACCTATCTCTGGATTTGCTTATTCTATACATTTAATATAAATGGAATCATAAAATACATGGCCTTTTGTGTCTAGCTTCTTTCAGTTAGCATAATGTTTTTAAGGTCCATACACATTGTATGTATCAGTACTTCATTCCTTTTTTGTAGGTGAAAATTTTCTATTGTATTATATACAAATTTTATTTATCCATTCAACAACTGATGGCCATTTGAGTTTTCCTATTTCTATTACAAATAATACTATTAATGTTTATGTACAAATTTTTATATAACATGTTTTCAATTCTCTTGTGTACAAATTTAGGAATGAAATTACCAGATTATATGTTAACTCAACATGTAAATTTTAAGGAACTGTTTTCCAAAGCAGCTATATAATTTTACATTCACACTAGTAATGTAGAAGGGTTCCAGTTTCTCCACATCCTCACTAACACTTTCTACTGTTTGTCTTTTTGGTGTTACCCATTCTAGGAGATAGGGATGGCATTTCATTATGGTTTTGATTCACATTTCCCTAGTAACTAATGATACTGAACATCACTTCACATGCTTATTGATCATTTGTGTATCTTCTATAGAGAAGTGTCTATTCAAATCTGTTACCATTTTTTCATTGGTTTATTTGTCTTCTTATTGTTGTTCTCTAAGTGTTATTGTATTTGTGATTATGCAACCTTTATCAGGTATAACATTGGCAAATATTTTCTCCACTTGGTAGACTGCCTTTTCACTTTCTTGATACTGTTCCTACACAAAACCTTTTAACTTTGGTACTGTGTACTATATCTATTTTTTTCTCTAGGTGCTTCTAATATTGGTGATTTATATAAGAAACCACTGTCTAATCCAGGGTCATCAAAATTTTCCCCTTTGTTTCCTTCTAAGGATTTTATAGTTTTAATTCTTACAGTTGTATCTTTGATATATTAACACAAACTGAATTTCAATGGTATACAAAAATGTTGTTCCTATAGATCTTCATTCCTTTCCCGTCTTTTGTATTACAATTGTCATGCAAATTACTTCTTTATACATTAGGTGCCTATCAACACAGATTTACACTTTTTTATTTATGCAGTTATCTGTTGATTTTAAATTGTATAGGAGAAAAAAGAATTGCAAATAATGCATTTATGCCTGTCTTATATTTATCTATGGAGTTACATGTGGATTCGAGTTACTTATTATCTGGTGTTCTGTCATTTTATTCTGAAGAACTTTATTCAGTATTTCTTACAGGCCAGGTATACTGGTAATGAATTCTCCTTTTTTGTTTATCTGGGAATATCTTAACTTCTCCTTCATTTTTGAAGGACAGTTTTGCTGGATATAAGAATTCTTGGTTAATAGACTTTCTCTTTCAGCACTCAGAATATGTTATCCTACTGCCTTCTGGCCTCCACGGTTTCTTATGAGAAATCAAATGTTAGTCTTACTGAGGAGCTCTTGTATGTGATGAGCCACTTCTCTCTTGCTGTTTCAAAGACCTTCTCCTTACCTTTGGCTACTGACTGTTTGATTATTAAGAGTTGTGAGCAACTCTTTGATATTTTATCCTGTGTAGAGTCTGCTGAGTTTCTTGGGTACCTGAGCTATTATTTCTTCAAATATTATTTATGAACTATTTCTCTCTCCTCTACTTCTTGGAATCCCGTATGCATATATGCTCATATATGTGATAGCTGTCCACAGGTCTCTCTGAGCTCTGTTTATTTGTCTTCATTCACTTTTCTTTCTGTTCTGCAGACTGGATGTTCTCAAATGACCTCTCTTCAAGTTTGCTGAATCCTTCTTCTGTTCCATTCTGTTATTGAATGCCTCTCATTAAATTTTCATTTCAGTATTATATTTTTCAACTCCATAATTTTTACTTTGTTCTTTTTGTAATTTTTATCACCTCATGGATATTTTCTATTTCCTTGAAACACTGTTCTCATGTTTTCTTTTAATTATTTAGACATTCTCTTTGCTCTTTGAACATAATTAAAATAGCTGATATTAAGTCTTATCTAATAAGTCCAATGCCTGGGATCCATTAAAGACAGTTACTTCTCCATGCTATAAGTATGCCATATTTTCTTCTTTCTAAGTGTGTCTTATAATTACTTTTTGAAAGCCAGATTTTTTAAACACTATAAAGTGGAAAATCTGGAAATGATTTTTCTACTTCCCAGGGTTTGTTTCATTGCTTTTTGTTGCTGTTGAGGATGTTTTTGTCCATTTGGTGACTCCTCTGGTCTAATTTTCTAAAGCCTATATTCCTTTATTGTGTGGCCACTGAAACCTTTGCTCAGTTATCTTAGTACTAAGCTGATAACAGAGCAAAGAGTTC